CATCTCCTGCAGGATCCAGGCAGGTAAGGACCACCCCCCTCTCTGTCAGTCAACAGTCTTTAGGGTGAGGACTCTGCTTTAGGAGATGCACGTTAGAAACCTCACAGACCTGAGAAAACAGCTCATGGGACATGTCCTAGGAATTCCCAGGTGGGCCAGAGGTTAGGACTCTGCATTTCTGTTGCCGAGGGCAGAGTTTCGATCCCTGGTGGGGGAACTAAGACCCTAAGATCCCACAAGCAGATCAGTGTGGCAAAAATAAACACAAACAAACCAAACACCACACAACATGTGTCCTAGAAGGACTGGGTGCTGTCAGGACAGTCCCACCACTGGACAGAGAAAGAAAAATAAGTCAAGAATAAGCAAAGTAAAACATTTAATGTGATTTCTTTTAAAAATGCTTTGTTTCCAACCATTTTGCAAGTTCTAATTTTCCAAAGAGTGAGACCATACCCACTGCCCTGATCCCAGGAAGGAGGTGGAAAAGACATCAGTGACAACGCTTCAGCATGGCCTGCGGACCACGACTCTACAGCGGGCCACCTTGGATCTGTGGGTACAACTGAGAAACTGCGTCAGTGTGGCGGCCTGGGTGGGAGGGGAGTTTTGGGGAGAATGGATATATGTGCGCGTATGGCTGGGTCCCTTCACTGTTCATCTGAAACTGTCACAACATTGTTTGTTAACCAACTGTACCCCTGTACAAAATAAAAAAGGTTTTTTAAAAATCAATGACAAATAAACAGACACGAAAAAAGAAATTGCTTCATTTCCTCCCACTCTTTCTTGCAAAAGGCGGCACCATCATCTTACTATCAGCTCCAAGGAGATAGCCAGCCAACTCACTCACTCAACAAGACACCCAAGCCAGATCTGGGAGGTAGAGTGGGGGGTGGTTCTTGAGTCTGAGGCCTGCCTCGGGGAAAATGCTGCAACAGTGCAGGCCACGGCGGCTCCTGACTTGAGTTTCTGGGTAAGAGAGGGTCAGTGAGGACGAAGCTGGGTTTTCCTGGTGGCATCCCCCTCAAGGAGATGCCCCAGGGACGGGGCAGCGGGCACAGGAAGTCCTTGCACAAAACCTTTGGCCGAGGCTTGCTTAAGGTCCCTTCCCTTCCCACCCCCCTCCCTCTCCTTGTATATAGTTTAAACTCTCCACACTAGGTCATTCAAGCCTGGAGTCCCCAGAAAAAAGAAGTCGCTGTTTGGGGGATGGCAGATGGTCAAGAGCTGGGACAGCTGCGATGAAGGATTAGTTGTGGGTTTCTCTCGGAGCCTCGCTACAAACTGTGTTGCCGTTCCATGTGCAAACACTATTAAATGAGAATGTTTTCTCTGGCTCCAGTCCACCTTCTCCCCACAGTTTAAGTATTGAATTTTTTTTTTTTTTAAACCGAAGTAGCTTAAGTTTACAGCTCACATTAAAACTTAAAAACGGTATTTCCATCCATGTTGGCAGAAACGGGCCACTGTTGATTCCACCGGCAGTCATAATAAACCCTTTCCCACTGACAATCGAACAAATCATTTTCTGTTTGCTGCTGAGTTTGGTTCAATAAAATTTTTGTACTCTTAAAATTCCCTTAGTAAGGACTCCTAAAAGCAACATCTCCTAAGGCGGCCTCTGTGGGTGACGGCCTCAGTGGTTCTGGGCCCCAGAGGTGAGCCTGACAGGTTGGTGGCAGTATTTAGAAAGCCTCAAACTCAGAAAGACATTACTGGGCTGAATATGCTGGTATGTGCAACATTTCCATTAGTTGCTTTTAATTCTTTGTGTACACCCAAACCTCTCCTCCCCCCAACCCCCCCCCCCACTTTCCCTGCTAACCAGAAATCTGAACATTAACATGGGTGCAGGGGGTGCCTTTAGACCCTCCCCAGGGGGGTCCCTGCCTGGGCTGCCTGAAAGGCCTTGGGGCTGGACAGACTCCATGCCCCATGGTGGGCAGCCTCCGTGGGCAGGGACCTAACTGCTACCCATTGGGCTGAGTGCAGGTGGGTCAGAGGGCAAGCCAGACATCTTAGCCTTCGTCTGGAAACTCCCACACAGCTTATAAATGTGCTTCTTTTTTCCCCCCCAAATGGCTGGCCAGACGAATGCTGAGCCCACGAGGTCTCAATCCAGGATTCTTCTAGGCTCTTCCAAGAAAACCCACTCAGGGAGGTATTGGGCTGAGGTCGCTGAGTGCAGCTGGGCTTTCATGTTACGTTTGGAAGAATTGGCCCACATTTTTCTTTTTTTTTTCAAAAAATTGGTTTGGTTTCTTTTGAAATAAAAACTTAGTAACTTGGTTCCACAGCCTTCGATCAAAGCAAAGGGCTGACAGTATTGATCCCACTGTCCCCAGGGTACAGTCCCTAGGATGAGGGTGGGAGGGGCTTTCAGCCCCCAGGGGAAAGACGCCAATCTCAGATACAGCCTGCAATGCGGGAGACCTGGGTTCAATCCCTGGGTCGGGAAGATCTCGTGGAGAAGGGAATGGCTACCCCCTCCAGTATTCTTGCCTGCAGAATTCCATGGACAGAGGAGTCTGGCAGACTATAATCCACGGGGTCACAAAAGAGTTGGATATGACTGAGTGACTTTCAGATAGTGAACCCGAACCTCTGCCCACATCAGGAAACCCTGTGGAGACATCCTCACCCCCAGAAAGTCCCCCAGAATCCGAGGAGGACCAGAGGGAGGCCCTGGAGAAACAGAGAAACGGAGAGAGTCAAGAGTCAAGCCTCCTTGCCTGTCCTCACACAGCTGCAGAGAGCTGAAGCCTGGAGCTTCGAGGACGGTCAAGCGTCCATGGGCCCAGAGCCTCCCCTGATGGGATCCTGGGGAATGGTGTCCATGCCCAAGGCCCCCCACTCTGCTCTATAGTCCCACCCTGGGACCCCTCCCCACTGGATCCCTGACTTAGGCTTTGCCAACCACCCGACCTGAGAAAACTCTAAAATCATATTTGCAGCCTGAGCCTGGCATCCCAGCCTCAGAAGGCTGCAGGCAACCGAATGCCTAACTCACCAACCACCCACCTCCCCATCTCAGTCAATGGCAACCCAATCCTTCCCATGCGTCAGGCCCCGAACCTCCAGGTCACCACCAGCCCCTCTCTTTTCTCTAATGCTCCACGGTCAACCTGTCAGCAACTGTGACTGGCCCTGCTTTCAAATCCATGACAGGACCACTTCTCACCACTCCCCCGCTATGCCCGGGGTTGCACCTTCATCCCCTGCCTGGATCTCTGTGGCCATCCCCCGACTGACATTCCCGACTGTCCCCTGAGTGCTCCCAAGTTTCTCACGGTGTGGCAGCCGGCAAGCTCCCTGTAAAATGCCAGGGGGCCCAGGCTATGCTCCGCTCCACGGCTCCCGCGCCACTCAGGGCAGACGCCCAGGGCCTTACTTACACTGTCTGTCAAGGCTGAGCCATCCCCTCCCAGCCACACACTTACACCACCTTCCACTCTGCCCCGTGCCCACACCTCCCTGGGCTCTGGGCTGTCCCAGGCCACACACGCTGCCCGCCCTGCCTGGAAGGTTCTGTCCTGAGACCCACCTCCCCAGGTCTCTGCTCTGTCATGTTCTCAGTGACGGCTTCCCCGACCACCCTATTTAAAAACCCCAGCAGGGCACTAAAAGTCGGCTCTCTGGGATGACCCAGAGGGATGGGGTGGGGAGGGAGGCGGGAGGGAGGTTCAGGATGGAAGGACACACGTGCCCCCATCGGTGATTCATATCGATGGATGGCAAACACCACCACAATGTTGTAAAGAAATTATCCTCCAATTAAAATAAATACATTAATTCAAAACAAAACACTGCAGTCTTGGGACTTCCCTGGGGGTTCACTGGTTAAGACGTCACATTTCCAATGCCAGGGGTGTGATCCCTGGTGGGGGGCTAAGATCCCACATATGGCACCACCAAAATATTAAAAACCAAACAAACAACCCTGCAGCCTCATCTCCAAGCTTCCTTATCCCTCACTGCTTTATTTTTCTCCATAGCAATGATCACCCTCCGAGGCCTTGTATATATTTATTCTTGTTTACCTGTTGTCTGTCTTTCCCTGTAGAATGTAGGCTCTATGAGGACAGGGTCTTTTTTTTTTTCTTTCTGTTTTGCTGTGCAGTGTCTCCAGCGCCCAGATCAAGGCCTAGCACGTAGTAGGTGCTCAGTAAATATCTGTCAAAGAGTGAATGAAACTAGATTCCCTCTCCTTCCTTCCATTTCCAACTCTGAGACTAACGGCTGTGCACTGTCTTCATAGGGGATCGACTGGACATTGGAAGACTTTGGACACGTGAAAGTATCAGGCAAAAGTCATGTGTCTGTTCTCAACGCTGTTGCCCCAACTCCTTTTTCAACGGGTGCCAGCAATGATGCAGGTCAGATGGTGTGCAGACCATTATGAAGAGAAGCTTAGCTTTTGTCCTCACCATCTTGCTAGATCAGGGGATAGGGGGAAAGGACACCAAAATGGGGGAAAGCAGAAAGGCCAGAGGAGGTTTTTATAATTACCATCTTTTAGGGGTATTTTCTTATTTAAAAAATAATACTGATTTTCTGGGGGGAAAAAAATCCATGGAAAACTGTCCTTCTAACTGAAATGGTGAGAAAGGCAGTTATAAAAGTGGAGAAGGCAGGTGTGCAGACGGGGAGGTAGGTGTGATCATGGGGAGGTGGGAGTGAAGATGGAGAGGCAGGTATGATCATGGGGAGGTGGGAATGAAGATGGAGAGGCAGATATGATTATGGGGAGGTGGGAGTGAAGATGGGGAGGCAGGTATGAAGATAGAGGGGCAGGTGTGAAAGGTGGGGGAGGCAGCTGTGGGCACAGGGAATGCAGGCTCACCCCTTGTTAGCTGGAGTGAGAGATGGGGGCTTCCCTTTCACTTCACAGAGTGAAGAGAAGGCGCTGAGGTATCAACAGCTTGAACCATTAGGAAAAGGAAGACAAAGAATCGTGTTTTCGGAACGTGCAAGGGACGGCTCTCTGGCTTCTGGGGCTAGTTGGTCTCCTCCAACTCCAGCAGGTCATCCACGTATTCCAGGACTTCTCCCTGCAAGGGCAACGAGACACCTCCGTGAGGCGGCTACCTGGCCTTCAAAGTGTTGGTGAACAGAGACTGTTTCCAAGAGGCCGCTGCCACCCGCCCCCGGGACTGGAGCAGCCTTCTCCCTGCTGCCCTCGGGCCCAGAGGATCTGACTTCTTCTGGGGGAGACGTGGCTTCCACATCATGTGGACTTGGTTTCAGGTGCTCTGAGACCCCCCCAGACGGCATGTGAAGTGGGGGGCCCGGCACCTTCTGCAAGATCCTGCTTAGCGCCCCCTTTTCTGTGCATCCCTCCCTCACCCTTACCCCCCTCCCATCAGCAGTTACCCCACAGGGAGACCTTCTGTCTGTGCCGCTTCTGCCTTGAATACCAGACCATGAGCTTTTCCAGGGACAAGCACCTGGGCGCAGGTTCTTTCCCAGAGCCTGGCACGCACAGGTCTCAATAAACCTGCTAGAGGAAGGATGGCTGACTGAGTGGACACGTGTTACTGCTACTGCAGCTGAAGCTGCCACGCACTTTCTGATCTTCTTTGCATTGGTTTCTCTCCCACAACGCACTTGACCACCCCCCACCCAAGCCCTTTACTGCAGAGAAAGAGTGACTCACCAACAAGGTCAAGCTCCCCTGCCCTGGGGTCAGCCCAGGCTGACCTGCCTAGCTCCTCCTTTGCCTCTCAGCTCCTTCCCCAAGAGCACTCCCTCAGTCACTCCAGCAAATTCTATTCTATTTCTTTGTCAACTACAAATGGGCACTCGCTATGGGCACTTGCCATCTACCACCACAAGGATTAAATCAGGTGCTGCTACAACTACTGACCTTCAACACTCCCTGAAAGGAGTTCAGGGCAGAGAGCAGAAATGAAGCACTCTCTGCTCTGGGAAAAACTGGCAGACCAGGGCTTCAGATACTTAAGATTTTATGAGCCAATTTTATGAGGCCAATTCTTATATTTCTTCATTTCTAGAAAAGCACTAAAATCCTCCATGGTGACTAAAGACTAGCAGAAAGCTTCTGTGAAAAATATGTGCTTGGTTGCAAGTATTCCCACTTCACCACAATCACATTTATACTGACCGTCCCCCTTGCTTCATTAGAGCAGCTTCTCAGAGCTATCTGAAATGATGTCACCCAGGTTATAGTCCTCATTTCGCCCCCAACAAAACTTAACTCTCAACTCTAATGCTGTACAGTTTTTAAAAGTTAACATCTTTTAGACTTTTCGAGAGCAAACAACTATCTGAACCTGAAACCTGAAACATCTGTTGGAGGTTGCTTTATAAACTTTCTGAAATGGTAACAAGGCTACTGCAAAATTTTTAACCAGTGTGCAAACTTCCAGGTGTTCTTACACACATTTCAAGCCCAGAAAGCTATGAAGAACAATACCACAAATATCAGAAGACTGTATTGATGCTTTGTTTCTAGGCAGCATTTGGTCCTTTGAAATTTTTAAGGCTTAACTAAGAATTTTATTGTGTTAGTTACAGTTTACTTCAAATTATGACTTGTCATCATTTGATATATAATTTTAAAAATAGGTCATTCTTTAGAAATTATTTCACAATCCTAAAGCCTTGATTAATAACCTAATTACTCTGGGATCTTCAGTGGAGCCCTGTTATCTTGAGAGTATTAAGTTCAAGAATCCTAGGAACTGTAAAGCCTGGAAGAAGCCTGGTCAGTTCACCAGATGATTACTAGGCAGCTGTGTGACTTTCAGTAAGTCATGTTACCTTTCTGAGTTTGCTTCCTCATCTGTGACATGAAAGAGCTTTATTGTCTCATAAAGGGGCTCTTCTTGTTCTAACACTTGTGATTTTTCTTTGTCTACTCACAGATAAACATGATCTTACGCACAGAAACTCCTGAGGAATACACACACACCCCAAAAAGATTAGAACTGATAACCAAGTTCAATAAGTTTGCAAGATTACACTATCAGTACACAAAAACCAACAGTATGTCTATATACCAGCAAGACACAATTAGAAAATTAAAAACAAAAAGGGAAACAGTTCCATTTGCAACAGGGCTTCCCTGGTGACTCAGCTGGTAAAGAATCCGCCTGCAATGCAGGAGACCTGGATTCGATTCCTGGGTTTGGAAGATCCCCCGGAGAAGGGAATGGCTACCCACTCCAGTATTCTGGCCTGGAGAATTCCATAGACTGTATAGTCCATGGGGTCACAAAGAGTCGACCACGACTGAGCAGTTTTCACTTCACTTCCATTTGCAACAGCATCCAGAATAACAAAACTTGAGAAAACATTATTGAAGGAAGTTATTTTCCAGGCAAGAATCCTGGAGTGGATTGCCATTTCCTTCTCCAGGGAAACTTCCCAACTCAGGGATCAAACCTGGGTCTCCTGCACTGCAGGCAGATTCTTTACCACCTGAGCTACCAGGGAAGCTCCTCAAAGGAAGTTAAAGAAGACCTAAATAAAGAGAAAGCTATCCCATGTTCATAGATCAGAATATTTGGTATTGTTAAGATGTCAACAGTACCCAAAACAATTTTCAGAATCAGCACCATTAGTATCAAAATCCAAGCTGCTTTTGCAGAAATTGGCAAACTGATCCCATTATCACATATGGAAATGTAAGGGATCCAGAACAGCCAAAACAATCTGGAAAAAGAAAATGAAGTTGGAAGACTCGCATTATCCAATGTCAAATGTCATACAAAGCTATAGCACTTAAATCAGTGCAGTACCGAACTTCCTTGGTGGGCCAGTGGTTAAGAATCTGCCTGCTAATGCAGCAGAGAGGGGTTTGATTCCTGGTCCAGGAAGACCCCACATGCTGCAGGGCAACTAAGCCTGTGCCCCACAACTACTGAAGCCAAGCCTAGAGCCCATGCTCCGCAACAAGGGAAGCCTGTGCACCGCAACTGGAGTAGCCCCTGCTTGCTGCAACTAGAGAAAGCCCACACACAGCAACGAAGACTCAGTGCAGCCAAAATTAAGTAAATAAAATTTAGAATACATACATAAATAAATGTGTTACATTTTTAAAAAACATTAAAAACAGAACAGTGCAGTGCCAGCATAAGGAAAGAAATCTAGATCAACGGGATGGAATGGAGAGTCCAGAAATGAATCTTCACATTTAACGTCAATTGATTTTCCTATGAAGGTACTCAGACAACTGAATGGGGAGAGTCTTTTCAACAAACAGTGCTGGGACAACAGCATTTCCACACGCAAAAGAAGGAAACTGGGCCACTGCCTCATATCATATACAAAATTAACAAAAAATAGATTATAGATAAAAATGAAAGTTAAAACTATAAAAACTTTAGGAAAAAATATAGTATATTTTAGTCATCTTAGATGAGCTTCTTAGCTATGACGCCAAAACACAAGTAACAAGAAAAAAATTGGTAAGTTGGATTTCATCAAAATCTAAAACATTTGAGCTTCAAGAGTAAAGTGAAAAGATAACCAACAGATTGAGAGAAAATGTTTGCAATTAATGTATCTGACAGGGGGCTTTAGAACCAGAATATATAAAGACCTCTCACAACTCAACGATGAAAAGACAAATAGCCCAATTTGAAAATGGACAAAGGAAAATAAAAACACTCCTCTCTTAAAAAAAAGTGGACAAAGGGTTTGAATAGAATCAACACTTCTCCAAAGAAATACACAAATGGCTAGCAAGCATGCGAAAAGATACTCAACATCAGTAGTCAATAGGGAAATGCAAATGACAACCGCAATGAGGTACCACTTCACACCTACTTCACAACTAAAAAAAAAAAGACAGACAGACACACACACACACAAAGAAAGACAGACGCTACAAATGTTGATTAAGATGAAGCAGATTAGAACTTTCCTACATTGCTGGTGGGAAATGCAAAATGGTTCAGCCACGTTGGAAAACAGCCTGGCAGTTCCTTAACAAGATACACGCAGAGTTACCATGGGACCCAGCCAATCCACTCTTAAGTATAAGAGAATCTAAAATTTTTACCCAAACAAAAATGTGTACACAAATGTACACAGTATCATTATTGAAAGTAGCCAAAGACTGGAAACGACCCAAATGTCCATCAGTCAAGGAATAAACACCATGTAGCATGTCCATACAGTAGAATATTATTCAGCAATGAAAAAGGATCTTTTTCATCTAACGTGATGCATGTTACAACACAGCTAAACTTGGAAAACATTATCCTCAGTGAAAGGAGTCAATCACAGAAACCAAAATCCATTTGATTCCACTCATCCGAAACATCCAGAACAGGCAAATTCAGAGACAGAAAGGAGGTCAGTGGTTGCCAGAGGCTGGGGGCACAGGCTGGGTGGACAGAGGGGAAAGAATATAAAGTAACGACTAATAGGTTTCGGCTTTCATTTGGGTGAGGAAAATGTTCTCAAATCTGATAGTAGGATGAATGTACAACTTTATGAATACACTAAAAGCCACTGAATTGTACCGTTTAGAAAGGAAAATTGTATGGTATGTGAGTAGTATCTCACATACCATTTTTCTGTTCTAGAAAAATGTAACAAGGGAAACTGCTCATAGCAATGTTAAATGGAAAAGCCCTGATATATAACTACCATCAAGTTTATGGTGAATATATTAACATATTGGAAATACATGGAAAAAACTGGAAGCATAAACACCAAAATCTCAATAGTAGTTTGCCTTTAGATAACCAGGAACCCAATCCATCCCCCTTTTCCTGAATATACTTTTCTCTACTTCTTAAACCACAGCGGCCAAGCCAGTTTGTGTCTGGCCTGTGTTCCTTCCTTTTCAGCATCCTTGTGATCTTATCCCAGGATCTGCCTCCAGAGAACCCAACCCAAGACACAAGGCGTGTGTGTCACTTCCTACTCTGTAAAGCACTTCCACGTCCAAAGTGGTATTTTCTTCTCCCAACCCTGCAAGGTCAATGTTATCAGCTACATTTTACACAAAAGAATTGAGGCCCAGGGCAGCTAAATGCATGGCAGTGGTCCATCCAACTCATGTGAATTTGTCCACAAAAAACAAATTTCATGATGACATTTTACTTACAGGTGCTTCACTGAAAACCAGTGCAGTGGAAAGAGCAGACATGGAAGCTCGGGGCTCTGGGTCTGGCCAAGCAGCTTCCAGACTCTCCTGTCCCCGGGGTTCCTTTTCTATGAAGTGAAGGGTCAGCTGAGAACAAGCCCTCAGCTGTCTTCCAACTCTTAAGGCTGGTGAGTCCTCAGCTGTCTTAGAAAGCATTGCATGGTCTGTTCCAAACACATCTCTCTAAATGTTACCCCTGCAAGCGTGCTTGGTCAGTCATGTTTGACTTTTTGCGAACTGGAGCTCTCTAGCTCCTTTGTCCATGGGATTCTCCAGGCAAGAAGACTGTAATGGGTTGCCACGTCCTCCTCCAGGGGATCTTCCCAACCCAGGGATTGAACCTGCATCTCTTACATCTCCTGCACTGGCAAGCAGGTTCTTTACCCACTGAGTCACCTGGGAAGCCCAAACGCTAACCCCAATGATGGCTTTTCTGTGACTAGACTGCTGCAACACAGAATGACTGCCCCATAACTAGCAGAGTCTCCGTCAGTAAAGGCATCAGCTGAGTGAGACTTCATCAGGAATTTCAAGAAAATCCCAGAGAAGGATAAGATGCTTAACTCATAAAAGGACACACACACACACACACACACAACTGACAGAAAAATTGGGATGTGGGTTTCCCAGAGTCTTCAGAGTGCTGAGTAATTGAATATTCACTGTTTTTATAAAGTTAAAAAATGAAGCTTGTTGCTCAGACACAAAAAGGAATGAAATTATGCCATTTGCAGAGACATGAATGAACACAGAGATTTTCATACTAAGTGAAGTAAGTCAGAAAGAAAAAGACAAATATCATATATTAATTCATATATGTGGAATCTAAAAAATGGTACAGATGAACCTCTTTGCGAAGCAGAAATAGAGACACAGACATAGAGAGCAAACGCACAGACACCAAGGGGGAAAGGGCAAGGTGGGAAGAACTGGGAGGTTGTGATTGACATATACACACTATTGGTACTATGCATAAAATAGATAACTAATGACAACCTATTGTACAGCACAGGGAACCCTGCTCAATGCTCTGTGGTGACCTAAATGGGCAGGAAATCCAAAAAAGAGGGGATAAATTTATCTAGATGGCTGAGTCACTTTGCTATACAGCAGAAACTAACACAACACTGTAAGGCAACTATAAACCAATATAAAATTTTTTAAAACGATACCTGGGAGCTTCCCTGGAGGCTCAGTGGTAAAGAATCCACCTGCCAATGCAGGAGACATGGGCTTGATCCCTGATCCAAGAAGATCCCACATGTCATCAAACAACTAAGCCCATGTGCCACAACTATTGAGCCTGTGCTCTAGACCCCCAGAGCCTCAACTACTGAGCCCAATTGTCCTAGAGCGCATGCTCCGATACAAGAGAAGCCACCGCAGTGAGAAGCCCGCTCACCACAACTGGAGAAAAGCCTACACAGCAACGAAGATCCAGCACAGCCTCAAATAAATAAATGAACAAATAAATAAAACAAAAACGATGCCTGGACAGCTCCTGTGACAGGTAACTAGAGGATGGCTCCCAACTCTGCCAGGAAACATGGTGCTTCAGCCTGGGTTTCCTAGAAGCCCTTCTTGTCCAGGTCAGTCCACTGATGCCTTAAAACACTCACAGAAACCGTGTTTCCCAAGGCCTCTTCTGGGTCTCATTTCAGGAATGACGGGGCCTCCCAGTGATTTTTAACAAAGATGTAAGAAATATTTTCTCTCAGTCAGTCGTGTGCTAAACATGAAAGCTCACCTCATCGTCATCCATGAGATTTTCCTTAGCAAAGTCATACAGCTCTTTCTGGAGCATGGTCACGTTAAAGAACTGGACTGCTTCCTGTTTAGACACAAACAGAGAACAGTATATACCAACCAACCATTTAACAGAATCGGGGTGCAGGGGGAACAGGGGGTTGGGGTTTCTTTGGTGAGGGGATGATGAAAATGTGCAAAATTAAATAGTGGTAACAGCCATGCAGCGCTGTGAATATACGGAAACCTCTGAACTGTGCACTTCAAATGCATGAACTTTCAACTATATGAATTATATCTCAATTTGAAAAACAGTGGCTAACCCCAAGTGAATGTATGTGAGAAAGAGAAATGTGTGTGTGTCTGAACAGTGAGGTTGAAGGAAGATGTATGTACAGCAAACCAGGACAGCCGGTACAAATCTCAATGAAAATACAACTTAAAGGCACATGAGAAAAAATCGTCTGAAAGTGATAAATAATCCACAAGTCTCCCTGAATGCGTGCAAAACTGTGTGTGTGCATCAAAGGAATGAAATGATGATCCATCCATAAACAATCCTGCCATGGAGTTGTTAATTACGGGAAAAAAAATACGAGAGTAACAAGGGAAGCATTCATGATGAAATTCTTAGAAAAAACAAAGCAAGCTGTAAAACAGTATGTAGGATCCCATTTTTGTAAAAATAAAGAATTACATGCTGCATATATGGCATCATACAGCTTTACCACAGCATGAGACAGAGAAAACATAAAATCAAGAGGAAGGGTCAATTCCTAACTGAAATGTTTCTGTAATGCTTGAAATTTCAGGAGAGTATACTGATTTAGAAAAGAGAACAAAGGGGTAAAGTGTTAAAAGACAAAATAGCGACAGAAGCAAGTTGAGATTCCCTTGCTTCTGAAATAGCCCTTCTCTTCAGACGCCAAGCGGTCTCCCGGAAGTGGCATAAAGACGAAAGCGGAAACGCGGTGCCTGGTGGGCCGGCGCTCACCGGTCTGGGCTGGAAATGCTCGTCCGCCAGCGCCCACTTGTCCCTGTGGTACTGATAGTACACCAGGTTCTGCCGCATGACCTTGTCGCTCTGGTCAAAAAGCAGGTAGCTGACCGCACAGGGTGCCGCATTCTTCAGGTCGTTCACTGTGGGCGGAAGAGAGAAAACAGGAACAGGAAGTCAGCCAGCCTCTCAGGAGAAGAACCGTTCTTCTCAGTGAAGAACAGCTTCCAGGAGAAGATCACTAGCAAGCCCCCCTTCCAAGCCTCTCTGACAGAACACCTGCAGTGACGGGAAAAAAAACTCAGGGATGAACAGGCTGTAGACAGGATCTCCAGGGAAAAGTGGAATCCATTTGTGAAAATGACAGAAGTTCCTCGGTACACAGAGGCCAAGGCAGAAGTAACTAGTCAATCCCAGTCAGGCCACCGTGACCTGGGCTGGTGTCACATCCCTGGGGCCTGAGCAGGCCTGTGTCTGGAAACGACTCTCATGGGACTGACGGAGGATGTGCAAGCAAATGAGGCCCCCTTGGACCTGTACTGCCCCCTCCCCTCTTGATGGGACCACAATCTCCAGATCCAGGCAGGTCCACAAAGAGCCACAAGAAGCCCAGGACACCCAGAGATCTGTGCATCCCTCTGGACTGGAAGAGCTTCGTAAAGTCACCTGGTCTGCCCTCCTCCTGTCCTGGTGCTGGGGTCCCACCTCCACCTTCCTTCCTGAGAGTCGCCCCCACCTACAGAGGAGGTGCTCCCTCAGCAGAGCGGTTTTCCAGGTGCAGAGATTTCTCCATGGGGGTAAAGGGAAAGGGAAGAAGGAATGAGACACTGGACCCTGGGCGTTTCTTCTGGCACATTCCCCTCTCCTTGACAACCCAGGAACAGGACATCCCTAAGGCTCTGTCTGCCCAGGTATCCGGACCTGGGTGTGAAGTAGTGCTGCCGCCTTGTGGCCTTTTCCCATAACTATAACTTTAAAACCCCCACTTAAGGACATTTCCTGTTCATCAACCCTCCAAGGACTGGAAAGGACACCTACCTTCAAGAAATGTACTGCAGTAGGCTATGAAAAAATATTCAACACAGGACCAACTTTCAAAAAGCCAACTTCAAAAGGTAAATTTCATTCATACTGTTTTTAAAAAAGTAATGGAAAAGCTGCTCCATATGACTCAGTTCAGTCACTCAGTCGTGTCTGACTCTTGGCGACCCCATAGACGGCAGCATGTCAGGCTTCCCTATCCATCATCAACTCCCGGAGCTTGCTCAGACTCATGACTACTATTGCTCAGACTCATGACTACTATTATATATGTATGTGACATAATCCATATGACTACTATTAGAGAAATGTAAATCAAAAATGCAAGGAAGAATCACCCCACACCCGTCAGCATGGCCATCAGCAAATGGTCTGTATACAAACAACAAATGTGGAGACAGAGTGCAGCGAAGGGAATCCTCCAGCCAGGTTGTTGCGAGTGTAAATCGGTTATCAGGCACTCTGGAGAACAGTGTGGAAGTTCATTAAACGAACTAACAATAGAGCTAGCATGTGATTGGGCCACCCCAGTCCTGGGCATGTAACTGGAGAAAACCAGAATTCCAAGAGACAAGTGCACCCCAGCACTTAGTGCAGCCCTGATTGCAACAGGCAAGACATGGAAGTCACAACGTCCATCAACAAATGAACAGAAAAAGAAGAGATGCCACATGTTTACAATAGAATATTACTCAGCCATACAAAGGATGAAATGATGCCACTGGCAGCCACACTGACAGACCTAGACATGATCATACCAAGTGAAGTAAGTCAGACTGGGAGAGACAAATAGTATATGAGATCACTTAGATTTAGAATCTAGAAAATAATGAGAATTAATTCATTTATGCAACAAAAAGAGACTCACAGAGTTGGAAAACAAACTTATGATCCACAAAGGGGAAATTAGGCTGGAAGGGATGAATTAGGAGGTTAGGATTAACAGATGCACTCTTTTATATATAAAACTGATGATCGAGGGGGACCTACTATACATTACAGGGAACTCTGAAACACCCTGTAAAACTACAGGGAAAGGATTTGAAAAACAATACATCCAAGTGTGTGGATAACTGAACCAATTTGCTAGACAGCTACAACAAACACCATAGTATAAATCAGTTCTATTTCAGTTCTATTTTAAATTTTTAAAAATTACATAAAAAGCAGTAACCACCACATTGCCCTCAGGCCACAGGGACCTGGGCTGGTGTCACATCCTTGCACCCTGAGAGGCTTGGGTCTCAAGACTGGACTCTCATGGGGCTGAGGGAGCTGGGAATTACATGCCATCAAAACAGCACCCCTTGGACCTGTAAGGACTGGTCCCCTCTGGATGGGACCACAATCTCCAGATGCAGGCAAGCTCTTCAGAAGCTACGTGAAACCCAGAGCATCCAATGACTGGTGGGCCCTCGGGCTGGAAGAGCTTCCAAAAGCCAGCAGGTCTTCTGGACGTGTCCTGGTGAGGGAACTCAGCACCAACCTCAGACGACATCACCCTCAGCGGAGTGGTTTTGCAGGGACTGGGATTTGTCCGTGGGGAGAAGGGGTAAAGGAATGAGACACAGGCCCTTAGGCATTTCTCCTGGCACCTTCTGCTCCCTTGACAACCCAGGAATTGACTGACTTTCCTGAGGTTTTGGCTGCCCAGCTGATCAGACCTAGGTGTGAGGAAGTGCTGCTGCCTGTGGCTATTTCTCATTACTACAACTTTAAAACCAAGGTTTATGGACAGTACGCCTTCAGTAACCCTGCTGGGCTGCAAATGACAACTGCCCTCAAGAAATGCCCTGGAGTAGGTCGTAGGAAAAAAAAGTCAAAACAAGGTCAACTTTCGAGAAGCCTGCTTCAAAATGTAAATTTCACTCATACTGTTTGAAACAAAGTATGAAAAAGATGCTCTAAATGGCTATTACTAGACAAATGTCAATCAGAACTACAAGAAGGTATTAACTTGCACCAGTCAGAATGGTCATCAGGAAAACAGTCCACAAACAGTAAATGTGGAGACAGGGTGGAGCAAAGGAAACCCTCCTATAATGTTCTTGTGAATTTAAATCTCCAGGAACTCCAGAGAACATGTGAGGTCTTTCAAAACTACTGAATAAAAATAGAGCGGGCATATGATGTGGCCACCCCGCTCCTGTACAAGTGGAGAAAACTGAATTTCAAAAGACACATGCACCCCAACATTTAGTGCAGCGCTGCTTACAACACCCCAGGAATGGAAGCCACAAGAGTGCCCATTGTTAGATGAACAGAAAACAATGTGGCCCATGTATACAATGGAATACTACTCAGCCATAAGAAAGGGTGAAATGATGCCACTGGCAGCCACCTGGATGGACCTAGACGCGATCATACTAAGTGAAGTAACTCGGACTGAGAAAGACAAATATTATATGAGATCACTTACAGTTGGAACCCAAAAGCTGATCAAATAATTTATGTAACACAAGGAGACTCACAGCTTCAGAACCAATGTATGATTCTATAAGGGGAAATTGGAGTGGGAGAGATGAAGTAGGAGGTTAGGATTAACAGATACACTCTCATATACATATTATAGAAAATAAAAAACGACCTACTGTACAGCAGAGTGTGAAACACTCTAACAACCCATAAGGGAAAAGGATCCAAAACACATACATCTATGTGTGTGCATCATTGAACCAATTTGCTGGACACCTCAAACAACATTCTCCTTGACAACCCAAGAACTGACTTTCCTGACGCTCTGTCTGCCTGGGTGATCAGACCTGCACATGAAGTGGTGCTGCCTCCTTGTGGTCATTTCCCATTACTATAACTTTAAAACAGGCTTTTATGGACACTGTTAAGTCAAGTGGGCTTTAGGAAGCATCACTATGAACAAAGATACTGGAGGTGATGAAATTCCAGTTAAGCTACTTCAAATCCTAAAAGAAAGTGAAATTGAAAGTGCTGCACTCAATACACCAGCAAATCTGGAAATCTCAGCAGTGGCCATAGGACTGGAAAAGGTCAGTTTTCATTCCAATCCCAAAGAAAGGCAACGCCAAAGAATGTTACAACTACCACACAATTGCACTCATCTCACATGCTAGCAAAGTAATGCTCAAAATTCTCCATGCCAGGCTCCAACAGTACGTGAACCGAGAATTTCCAGATATTCAAGCTGGATTTAGAAGAGGCAGAGGAACCAGAGATCAAATTGCCAACATCCATTGAATCATAGAAAAAACAAGAGAGTTCCAAAAAAACATCTGCTTCATGGACTACGCCAAAGCCTTTGACTATATGGATCACAACAAACTGTGGAAAATTCTTCAAGAGATGGGAATACCAGGCCACCTGACCTGCCTCTTGAGAAATTGGTATGCAGGTTGAGAAGCAACAGTTAGAACCAGACATGGAACAACGGACTGGTTCCAAATTGGGAAAAGAGTACATCAAGGCTGTATATTGTCACTCTGCTTGTTTAACTTATATGCAGAGTACATCATGCGAAATGTCAGGCTGGATGAAGCACAAGCTGGAATCAAGATTGCAGGGAGAAATATCAATAACCTCAGATATGCAGCTGACACCACCCTTATGGCAGAAAGCAAAGAGGAGCTAAAGAGCCTTTTGATGAAAGTGAAAGAGGAGAGTGAAAACGCTGGCTTAAAACTCAACATTCAAAAAACTAAGATCATGGCATCCAGTCCCATCGCTTCATGGCAAACAAATAGGGAAACAATGGAAACAGTGAGAGACTTTATGTTTTGGTGCTCCAAAATCACTGCAGATGGTGACTGCAGCCATGAAATTAAAAGACACTTGCTCCTTGGAAGAAAAGCCATGACCAACCTAGATAGCATATTAAAAAGCAGAGACATTACTTCGCTGACAAAGGTCTGTCTAGTCAAAGCTATGGTTTTTCCAGTAGTCATGTATAGATGTGAGATTTGGACCATAAAGAAAGCCGAGTGTTGAAGAAATGATGCTTTTGAACTGTGGTATTGGAGAAGACTCTTAAGAGTCCCTTGGATTGCAAGGAGATCCAACCAGTCAATCCTAAAGAAAATCCACCCTGAATATTCATCAGAAGGACTAATGCTGAAGCTGAAGCTCCAAT